TGGGGGAGCCTTGGATCTGGAGATGACGATACAGTGGCAGGCGGCGACAGTCCGACCTTTCCCGCTGCTGCCCCGGCTGCCCCATTGTATCTTCTTGCGAAGGCTGAGCCAAAACTCACCCAATGTGCAGAGCAAGAGATCTGCTGGGGAAACTGGAAATCTACTGACCCGTGGAAACTACTGGGGAAGAAAACAGGGAAGGAGGTTCCAGTCACTTAAAAGACCTGCATAGGACGCTGCTTTTTAGGATAATGCACTGGGCCTCAACCACCCTGCTTATCTATTGGTGGCTTCTTCAGCCAACTAGAGGACACCTGAGGGCAGTGGACCAATCACCAGCACAACACAAAGATGGGGGCGTGGCTTGATGCTCTTGTGCCAGGTTATGGTAAAATGGTTGAGTGAGGCCTGGCCTACAAGCGACCTGGGAAGAGACACTTCAGCCACGTGAAGCAGCATTGTGCAAGCAGATGGGGAAAGATGATCAGGAGAAAGGGGCTGCCTAGCCGGGCCAGGGCCTCTCAAGAGGTCAGCCTGTTCCCATACGTCTGTTCGGTGCAGAGAGCGGGTTGGAAAATGCCCCCCCCGTCAGTATTTCAGATGTCCCAGGTTTGCACCTACACTGTGTCCATCTCTTAGTGCCTTGCCTGGCCTGGCCACTGAGCCTAGGTGGAAGTGGGAGTTATCCAGTGGGGTCGCGCTGGCTTACGCTAGAGGTGAATCTGGCCCTTTATATTCCTGTATTCGCTTGTGGTTATGGGCTGGCTCCAGAACAGCCTCAGGCTCTAGCAGCCTCGTTCCTTAGACGTGACGGAGTCCGAGCCCAGATCCTCAAAGAGATTTAGGTGCTAACTCCCATGGATTTCAACAGGAAGGATTTCTCCCTTCTGAACCCCCTCTCTGAAACAAACCCACACACAGCCACTTCCTCTCTCCTCCAGGCACCCTCGTCTTGCCTGAGTTTAGGCTTCTGGCGCCACTCGGCCGAAAACTATAAACCTCTGGCCGACCTGGCGGGTCCTGCTAGCACAGAATGATCCCCCGTGCATTACTCTTTCCCCTCTTTATGCTTTATCCACACGGTACCATTTCACTTGAGACCGGCAGTGCGCACCTGCCATGGTTTGCAATGCCCCTGCTATCTTACAGCTCCTCAGAATGCTTCTCTAGCGCGCTCTGGCCTCTCAGACTCTGGGATATCTGCCTCCCCGCCCAGAAATAGTTACTAAGGAAGTCATCCGGTGGTGACGGTGAATGATGCGATGATGTCTGAGGTTAGCTGGCTACCAGCTGCAGCACAATAATTCCAGTGGGAATCACCCAGCGAGTTTGGATTGTGGAGTTTTGGGGCAGGCAGGGGCTGTTCTTCAAGGGCAATCCATTCACCAAATCCATCCAGAAGGCTCCAAGACCTTCCCTTTCTCTCCCCACTACCAGAAGGTCCATGGAGGCTGCATCATTTCATAGGCTGGGATGCTGGTAACGTTGACGGGGATGGAGATGATGGCCCAGGGGAGTCCGTGCTGTTCCAAGGAGCGTCGGATCATGTACCTAGAGAGAGACAGGCACGCATATTGATGGAGTGAGTTGGAAAAGAGGAGCTCGGCCCGTAGGCGCACGCTGGAGCCACCGAAGAGTGCAACGTCAAGACCAACTCAACCCCACAGAACAAATACAACTGGCTCCACTAAGGGTCTCACTTACAGGGCCTGATTCTGAGAGGTGTTTAGCGCCCACTGACCTCGGAGGGAAATGAAGTCACTTAGCCCTTCCCATGGGACACTCAGCACCTTGTAGAGTCTGGCCTTCATCAGGGGAAGGCTGAATTTTCTGACAGCTGCACTTAAGCTACCTAAACAATTTCCATGTTTAAGAATCAACCGAGGCAGCCCTGTATGATTGCAGATGCCTCTTGCTTGCTGGATGAATAGGGATGGCTGAGTGGAGCACCACGGTGGCTCATCAGCGCTGGGCCAGCCCTGGAGAGAGACAGGCTATGGCCTGCAGTTTATGATCTCTGCTTTAAGCGCTAGCTTTAGCATTTATTCTACATCAGGATGCTGTAGATAAACGGAGCACTTCAGTCTCCATGGTCAGAGCCCATGATCGGGGGCATGGACATTAAAGATCTGGAGAACATCTGAGGTGGTGGAAACAATGGTGCCAGTGCTATCTTCGTTTCATCCACACAACCAGACTGACTTCACTGGGGCTGCCTGGGTACAACGGGGGGCACAATCTGAAGATACGGGGGTGTGCGCACGTTGGGGAAAGGCACCTACCCGTCCCTGCCCAGGAGGAAGAGAGCAGGAATGTCCGCCGTCAGCCTCGTGCTGTCCTGGATCATTTCGACGTAGAAGCTGTCGTTGTCGTACGCGTTATCGGCGATAATCACCGCCCTCCCGCCGTGCTCCTGGACGACCCGCGTCTTCGACAAGAAGGAACAACCCCTGCGGCAGAAAATAACGCTGCGTCTCAGAGACCCGCTTGGCCAGCTGTCTGCACGGCACAGCGCCTATGTCTCCCCCTTCAAAGACCTCACCCCTTCCCAGCTGACGCGCTTCGTGCATTTCATACAATTGCTGCCCGTGAGAGCGAAGGGTGAAAAGGGCCACACTTATGTCTGAGCGGGGGAATAGGAAGCAAACAACCCATTTTAACCAAAGGATTCTTATTGTTCATAATAATAATAATAATAATAATAATAGGGACTTCTCTATCTTTGCTTCACCAACATTCTCCCGACGCCCTGGAGACATTGGTGAGGGAGCAGGCGAGGAAACTGAGGCAGAGTGGTGCTGTGATTTGCCCAAGGACGCAGAGGGAATCTGTGTCAGAGCTGGGGTTAGAATTCTGCAGCACCTGGCTCCCAGGCCTGTGCTCGGACCAGGCCTCATTGACGTTACTGTCTCAGCAAACTTAGTAATTAACCATTGGAACAACGTACCAAGGGTCGTGGTGGATTCTCCATCCCTGGCCGGTTTTAAATCGAACTCGGCTGTTTGTCTAAAAGCTCTGCCCTAGGAATTCTCGTGGGCCAGGTCTCTGGCCTGTGGTAGACAGAGGGGCAGACTGTGGTCCCTTCTGGGCTTGGGAGCTATGAAATCATCTCCCCTAATTCTCTTCTTTTACTTTCTCGGTCTTCGGGGCCCCTCAGCGACACTCTCCAGTGCTTGTAGGTTAACACTCCGCCCCAAGAGCAAGTGAGCGACTGTGCTGGCTTGTACGGCCCCCCTTCACCCAACACCAGCTGTGATCGCCGGCCTGTCTGGGACGTTGTCCTAACACTGACACTTGCCCGGCAATCCTCCCCGGGCGTAGCCCTGGGCCCAGCGCGCAAAGCTGCTGGCTTCCGCTTGGGCGCGCAGAGTCCTTTGCTAACAGTGCCCGGGAGATAGCTGCTGGCTGACCGGCGGGTGAGGAGCAGGTGGTCTCGCTCCCACAGAGCAGGTGCTCGTCATAAAAAACGCTGATTCAGCATTATCAGCGCCCTGACACGGTCCGCCTACCCACAATCGGAGGTGTGACCGCAGCCCACGTGGGCGTACCGAGCTGGCTTCCAGTGAGCTAGGAACAGCAGTGACACCGCAGCAGCTGCCACTAGCCGCCCGACTGCAGTGTAGACAGACCCCCCAGAGGCTCAGCAACCAGGCCAAGACTGACTGGGTCCTTCCCTTCTCCGCCTGGGAATGCATCCCCGCAACTGGGAACTGGGGCGGTGGTGGGGCAGGGTGGAGCTGGCTGGCCCTGGCGGTGCCCCTGCTGGACCTGCTCTGTGGTTATTAGCCAGAAGGCTTCAGCCTCCTCTAACCAAGCCCCAGTCGCCAGGGGAAAGGTGGATGCTTTAGGAAAACGGTCCCAGTGAGTAGGGCCTGTCCTGGCTGCTAGACCCCACGGCTGCTCTCAGAATGCCGGGGCTAAGAGCCTGCGTGAGCAGAGGGGCCGCTGCGGGGCTGAATTCCCCCTGGTGCGATGTCTAGCAGCACCGGGCCCACCGCGAGGAGGCAGGAGCTTGACAGCAGGGCCCGGGAGCAGTGGAGTTGGGGGGCAGCGTTGTTCCCTGCTCAGTGTCCTCGAGGAAATCCAGGAGGGCAGGAACAATCCCTGAAGCTACATTAGTCCCTTCAGCAGCTGCTACTGAGTAAGTGACAGCGGTCCCATGCCAGACGTCTCCAGCCCCGATTGAGCTGGGAGGTTTCATTCTTGGCAGGCCCCCTCGTCCGTGGGGCTGGGAGGCTCACCTGGGCCCAGGCCACAGCCCCCTAAATGTCTCAGGCGAAGGGGTGACGGACGCCCCAAACGAACCTCAGCGCTGTCAGAGGATTCCCTGGGGAAGGGGCACATGACTGGCCGGTTTCCTTTATATTAAACAGCGGCAGCTGCCTTCCTTCCGGGACCTCTCGATACAGACAGACGACAGAGGGGAAAGCGGATGATGGAGTCAGTTTTGTCAGACTAGAAAGTAACGGGACTGGAGACTAATCACGTTTCAGGTGTTGTCTATAAGGAGCAAATGCCCAGCGTACATACAACTCCCCAGGTGAACTCACCATCCCGGGAGAAGAGTGTCCACTCAAGGGGTTTTACTGGCACAGCCATGCAGCTATAATGCCAGCAGTCTAGCTACCTCAGTGATATTCTCCATGCAGAGGAGCCTCTACGGTCAGAGGACGACGATAAAAACGAACATGAGGCGAAATCTCCACGGGACCGTTCCCCAGGCAGGCGCTCTGCAACGTGCCAGATTTCGTTCTGCCCGATCTCTCTGGTGGAAAAAACCCAACCCGCCCACTCCCTGCACGCCGCTGTTCTAGAATCACACCATAAATAGCTCTCCCCCCCCCCCCTGGTAAAACAGATCTGTCATCCAACCTACCCACGCTCCACCAGGGCGATCTGATCTTGGATGAAGACTCCATTGTTTAGCTCCCCGCATGCCTCCGGAGGGTCTGCCGGGACCAGGTGTATCTGCTCGTATCTCGTGTTCTCGGAGAGGAAAGAAAAGCAGACTGGGAGTAAAGGCGGGGGCAGTACTGGGGGGTGGGGTGGGGGGTCTGGGTTTACTAACGTAGATCTATTCTGGGGTCTGCAGCAACAGGCTTTATTTGTTCTGGTTAAGGCCAGCTTCATAGACCAGTTCTCACCGTCCTGCCCCTAACTAAACTCGAAGAAAACTACAAAGACAGTCAGATCTGGCCTTGTTATTGCTAGACTGCTACATACTTTGCAGGTCTATAGCACCTAAGGGTCTAATATTAAACCCTGCAAAACCTGATGGCGCTATCAGAGGAGTTTGAGTACCGTGCATTGGGAAGTACTTCCTCTTCCTTGCTATGCATCTTTCTGCCAACGATTCCTCAACCCCCACAACAGCCATGGCAGGTAAGCAATGCTTATTACCCCCATTTTACAGTTGGGGAAACTGAGGCACAGCACAGTTCCATGATGTGCCAGAGACACACAGTGAGTCCGTGGCAGAGCAGGGAATAGTCCTTTGGTCTGTGGACTCGCAGTTCTGGGCTCTAAGCCCTGGATGGCACTCCCTCTCCTTGCTGCATGTGGTTCAGCTCCAGGGTGGGAGGCTCACGGTTCCATCCGTCCTGCGGGAGACCTGGCAGGGAATTACAGGGAGGTCCCGTCTAAGGCAGTTGTTCTTAGGGACCCAGGATTGGACGGGAGGGTCTCCCCGTGAACTGGTGTTCACCGTGTACGTGTCCATACCCAGACACTGTAGCTCCCTGCCTTTGACCTCCCTGGCCTGTGAGGGCTGTCCCAGATGCTGTGCATGGTAGAGAACTGCCTCTTGCTGGATTTGCCCAGCCTGCAGCTTCGGGCAGGTCTGGTCACTTGTTTCTTACTGAACTCATCCCCCCTCACCCCCTTTTCTTTATTACAGGGCCAAGGTCCCGTTTGTGCAGGTCACTGAATCACAGTTTGCAGAGTGGCCAGGCGCTGCCGGCTTGTCAGTCCATCGGAGTCCTGTACAGGGCGGCCCCACGTAGGCTGTTTGGGTCACTCTGCCAGCTTCCCACCCTTGCACGCTGCCGGCTTACTCCCTTTTGGACCTGATTCTCCATGGCCCTGTGCCTCGCACGGGCCTTTACTCTCGTGCAAAGGGGCGACAAGATGAGCACGGCAGCGTCTCTCATGCACTTGGCACCACACCAGGTGCAGGGCAATGGTGAACGAGGCCCTCGGCCTTATCTCAGCCGCATCCCGCAAGAGGCACTCTCTACCATGCCAAGCAGGATGCCCTGCTGATGGTGGAGAAATGGCAACATCCGGCAGTATCCCTTTGTTCTAGTGTAAAGAGAATCTAGGGTCCAGATCTTCACAAGTAATTCGGCTCCTAATGCTCACTGATTTCAATCATAGAATCTCAGGGTTGGAAGGGACCTCAGGAGGTCATCTAGTCCAACCCCCTGCTCAAAGCAGGAGCACTCCCCAACTAAATCATCCCAGCCAGGGCTTTGTCAAGCCAGGCCTTAAAAACCTCTAAGGATGGAGATTCCACCACCTCCCTAGGTAACCCATTCCAGTGCTTCACCACCCTCCTAGTGAAATAGTGAGACCCCACCCCACCCTCTATCCAACCACCCTGCTCCCAGTTCCCTGACTGCCCCCCTGACCCCTATCCACATCCCTGCCCCGACAGGCCCCCGGGGACTCTCACCCCCTATCCAACCCCCCCTCCCTGTCCCGTGACCGCCCCCTCCTGGGACCTCCTGCCCCTAACCGCCCCCCTGGGTCCCCACCCCCTTTCGGAATGTGGCCCTGCAAACATGGGCGGAGGACTCAGGAGGCGCAGGGGCAGCCGGAGAGAAGCAGCGGTTCCCCCTTTAAAGCCCCGCTTCTCTCCGGCCGGCTGCGCGGCTGCCCGGCTGCCCGGTGCTCCTCCTGAGTCCTCCGGTCTGTGCTCGCGGCGCTCCTGCCGCCTGCACCTCCCGCCTGCTCCCCTGAGGCGGGGGTGTGCCGGTGCCGGTGCTGAGCTGCCCGGCGGTGCAGTGAGCTGAGGCTGCAAGGGACGGGGAACAGCGGGGGAGGGACCGGGGGCTAGCCTCCCCGGCCGGGAGCTCAGGGGCCAGGCAGGATGGTCCCGCAGGCTGGATGTGGCCCGCCGGCCGTACTTTGTCCACCTCTGGTCTAAACACAGGACTTGGAGCTAGAAACTTGTGATCTCATGGACTGAGCATTGGCCTAGGAGCCACGAACTCTTGAAATTTAATCCTGCCTCTAACACTGTCCTGTTGTGTGGTCTTGGGCAAATCACTTTAGCCTGCCTCAGTTTCCCCAATCTGTAAAATGGGATTAAAAATATCTACCTACCTTGCAGGGATGTTGGGATGGTTATACAGTTAACGTTTGCAAGGCGCTTTGAAACTAAAATGTGATACCACTAACTAGTACAGTGCATTGGTAGTTGCTTGTTGGAGATTTGTAATAATTCCTCTGCATCTATGAGTGATTTCAGAATGCAAGTTGCTTGCAGAGATGTCTCTGCAGTTAGTATAATAACAATTTATAATTCTGGCACTTATCCAATCAGTTATGGGCCAGGCATCTCACACAAGATTAGGCAGACAGGGAGAGCAGCGCCCCGCCTCCAATCTATCTCGCAGAAATAACTTCTTAAGCAGTTCCAGCATTTTTCTTACACTTGGATCTGCTTTTTGGACCGTGTTAACAGAGGACCTCGTTTGTTTTGCGTGTCCCAGATCGAGCAGGAACTGCAGAGTTCCCAAGAGAAGGTAAGTGGATCACCGAGATTCTGGAGTAGCTGCTTCTCAGCAAATTCCAAAGTTCAATCTACACCCATCGGGCAAGACTCGTAGCTCTCTTACAGCAGTGTAAATCAAGCAACACCAGCAGCTTCATTGACACTGATGTGACTGAGCTCAGAATCTGGCCCACTGTTTCTAAAGGGCAACAAGTGTAAGAAACGACCAAATGAAGATCAGGTTTCAAATCCACTAGTTGCTGTGGAGAAAAATCTAGAAATGAAAGGTCTAATACAGATCTGATCCTCATACTTACAAACACGCCTCCAAAATCTTTGGCCGGCGTAGCAGTGAAGATGTAGCGGATATCTCCGGGACTCAGCACTTGGAAATATAAATATTCATGGACGCGTAAACCTGCGTATTTAAAAAGACAAAAAAATAGACAAGGGGGGAAAATGGAAAAGCTCTTGGGAAATTCCTTTGGAGAGATTTACAACTAAATTCACAATCACGCTGCTGTGAAAACAGCTCTTCTCAATGGGGATGGGAGAAGCAACAGGTAACATTTGAAATAACATTTCATTTACACCGCATCTTTCATCCCAACTGGAGTCACGGCGGCTGGATATATAAGGCACAATTCACCTGCCATGTTGATGCAGCCAGTTCTGGTGTGTGTGGGAGGAGCTGTTCAACAGCGCACAGCAATGCTGCCTAACTGTTTAGAGCAGGAAGCCAAGAATATGGGATTCCACTGAAATCACAAGGGATGTTTTAAGGAGGCAGAATTGAAATGACTCCTGGTGTAATTTTACCAGGACACCTGCACGTACACCCCGGTGCTTGTGAAAATACATCATGGGCTCTTTTTCCAACCCCTTCTCCATAATTTTCTTAAGCCAACTCAATGCCATACCCCAGCGACGGCCGCCTGACGGAAGCTATGATAGCATTCAGGATTCTGAAAAGATCTACTGATGCCACTCTCCGGAACAATGCTCGGTGCCAATTCTGCTCCAGCGAACGTCCCATGTGTATTACGTCACCTCCAAACAAATAGGCTTTGTAACAGTAACCCTAGTGAGGGGGTGGGGGAATGGCTACCTGGCCAGCCAGGACAAAGCGCTCCCACTCCTGGCACAATGAGGTCCCTTTTCCAGTGCCCAGCTCATGCCACCTGAAGAAATGGATTGCAAAAGTTCCAGCAGGCTTAACACAGCTGCGTTCCGGACACAGCAGATGCACAATAATCGTTAGCTGAATCCCAAGGCACTGCCATAGAAGTGCTTTAATTAAGAGCTCCAAATGTCCTGCCTCCGCGACTGATTCTGGAGCCACTTATTTCCCACGGAGGCAATTAGGGATCCGTTGACAAGCAGTGGGTGGAAAGCTTAATGCTGAATTTGCTACGGCACAGAAGCTGTCGGAGTTATGCCGGATCTCCTGGGAGCCTCTTACAGGCGTGTCCTCTTTCCCTCTGCCCCAACTGAGCCAGGGCAGGGGCGATGGGCTCCCACCGAGATGGCCCCTTCACCTGTAGTTTGAATCAGCACTTCCTAGAGTCAGGACGGCTCTTTTACACCTTGCGAAGGGAGCTTTGACTAGCAGTTACAGCAGGAGCGTGGGCAGCGGGAAACCTGGGTTCTGTTGGACCGACACCCTGTGTGACCCTGGGAGGGTCACTTAGACCAGCATTTTCACCAGTGCCCACTGATCTCTGGGTATCCCCAATTTTTGCAGTTTGAGGCACCTTGGGCCTGATTTCCCAAGCTGCTGGAGCACCCACAGCTCCAGACGAAGTCAATGGAGCTGCCGGTGCCTAGCACCTCTGGACATGAGGACCCTGGAGGGGTGTCAAATTGGGTGCCCAAAAATCACCAGTCACTTTTCAAACGCATTGCCCTTACCCTTTCTCTGCCTCAGTTTCCCCTCCAATAGTAAATGGGGATAACGACAATGGCACAAGGGAGTTGGGAGGCGCAGTTAATGCAGGTGAAGCATACACTATGCTCTAGCAATCCAATTCACACTCTGAATTAAAAGGAGAGGATGGCTGTAGACCACCACACCTGTGCTTGGTCGTGATCTCTTTGTGAGAGGCTGAAGTGAATGAAAAAAGACATTGACAGAAGCTCCAAAGGATCAAATTGCTCTAGCAGTCCAGAAGACTGATCCACATGAAGGCACTGATGCTAGCCCGACGGAAAACCCCTTTTCCTCTCAACCACAGATGCCTCTTGATGGTTAGAGTGTCAGTTGGGGGGAGGTGTCTAGTGGCTGGAGCAGGGGAGTCTGGGGATGTGGGTTCTACTCCTGGCTCTGCCACTAATTGGCTGCGAGTCCTTGGGCAAGTCGCGTCATTGTTCTGTGCCTCAGTTTCCCCATCTGTACAATCTGGGAAATTATCCTTATTAATCTGCATCTCAAGGGCACCATGAGGCTTAAAGCTCTCCAAGATCCTTGGATGCAAAGTGCCTTGTCAGTGGGAGCTGTTAATTACTACAGTATTCAGAGGACAGGCTGGGAAGGTACAAGGTTGAATGACAAGTAAGGGTCTAATCCTGAGAGGTGCTGAGTACCCACAGCTCTTGCTTACATCAACAGGAGTGGTCAGTGTTCAGCACCTCTCCAAATGGAGCCCTAACCCTCTGTACTGTTGAGAGCAGTCTGACATCCTGCAGCAGCACTTCTGCTAACCTAACGTGAACCAAGCAACACGTAGCAAATCCCCCAGCCGCGGCCAGAAAATGGATTTGTGCAAGCAGCTTGGACCCATCCCAAGACTCCTCCAGAATGGGACATAAAAACAGGCTGCCAGCCCTTTGCAAAGCGCCTCCAAACTGAACAAAGGTCATTTCTAGAATCCAGCGGCGCAACCTCCCCTCTGGGATCTTCTCCTTTGCTTTCTCAATCTTTTAGCTGCTGTAGTCTCCCCTTATTTACCTGCTGGCTGCCCCTCAATCCTGCACTCCCTCCATCTTCCTTTCCAAATCTCTTTGCAGGAGTTTTAGGGCTGATTAACGGTGCTCTAATGGACAAAACTCTTCCCTCTAGCCCCCAAACCAGGGCAGCGGCAGTGCAAGATTCTCCCACCTCAGCTGTGACCTGGAGGGATCACATCCCAGGGCAAGAGGATGTTGCATTATATTTTTCTTTGGCTCGCTCACTGCTTTCAAAGCCAAGACGACGGGGGGGGGGGGGGGGAAGAGCACAAGGCACTCAGAAACACTGGGTCATGTGCAGTGAGATCCTCCTGATGAACCGGATTGCCACTGCTTTGCAGAATATAGAAGTGAAAATGGGAATTTATAAATAGACTCGAAACCCTGACAGGTTTGGCAGGTCTCCACGACAGCAAATAAAGCGGAGCGACGAGAGTACAAAGAATGAATAATAATCACAAATTCACCCCAAAGAGAAGCATTCAAGAAGATTTTTTTTTCCCACCCCCTCCCCAGGCCTTTATTTAAGGCCAACAGAGTATCTGAGCACACGGCCAGCTGCCGCATCAGCGCAAGACTTCGAACAGGCACCTCAACGTGCATTTTAACCGCTTTCTTGTCAAGTCAGCACAGTCCGGCTTTGCAAGCTTACTGGAAAAGGCGCTTCCCAATGCAAGCACTGGGGCACTCTCCAGCCCCCAAGTGGCCAGTACTCACCATCGACGAAAGGCCAGGCGCAGAGATAGAGCACCAAACACAGCCATCTGCCAGTCCTGAATAGCATGTCTGTTCGCCAGCCTCCCCACAGCTCCCAAGTGCACCTCTAACCATAGAAGTGTCAAACTGGCAAGAGAGCAGAGCTCGGCCTCCAGCTTCCACTCATTGGTGAGCTCAAGCAGCTGCTGGTCTCATTGGTGAAGGTTTCAATCAATCCACTGCCGGCTACAAGAGGGTTTAAATTACCAACAGGTTCCTAATAGAGAGGAAGCAAAAAAATTCTTTAATCCCAGGCCCACAAATTCAGCCCCCACTGAAATTAGCAGGAGATTTTTCAGCAAAATAACCGGAAGCAAATTCGTCCTTTTCCACCCACTCCACTTCCTGAAGATAAAAGTGAGCTTCTCATTGCGTATTCCAAGGACAGTGCTGTGGTTGCTTCACTGGCCTGGGTGTCAGGAGGTGGGGTTTTCCTCCAGGCTCTGCTATAGACGTGCTGGATGACCTTGACCAAGGCATTGCACTGCATGCCTCAGTTTCCCCCGCTGTGATCCTGGCCGTTCAAAGAGGGGACTGAGTTGAATTCATGAAGGTTTGCTTACATGGGTGTCTTTACTTAAAATGAGTAGCCCCACTCACTACCGCGGAGCTGCTTCCAACAGACATAAAGCTGCACAGATACCTGCAGGACTGGGAGTAGACACAATGAGTGAAAGCCGCAAACAATGAGGAGGGAAGGGAGGGCAAGGGTTGCAGTAATAAGAGCCTGGACTCTGGTTTTGTTTTTTACAATTGTGATTTTAATGAGGCAATCGCTATTGCTTCTCTTTCCGATTCTCCAGCCTGCTCTGCTCCCACGCAGCCCCTGACTACTACCTGCCATCTCTGCACAGTATTTCACTAGCTTCACAACTACACCAGCCGCCCCAGCCCTTCTCACTGCCTCAAGCCCCCCATTAGTTTTGCTGTATGTACCTTTGACATTTTTAAACCCTCCAAATCCCATCCCAGGCTGCATTTGGGTCACTGTCATGGTAACTACATTGGTGCAAGCCCCTAATGAGGGCTCATGTAAAGCAGGGCTCACACCTACACAGCTTAATCCAGTGCAGATTTCTCTAATGCAGACAGGGAGTAGGTGCCCCCCTGCCTGTGACCCTTCACCATCAGACCCTCCAGTCTGGCCCATTTCCCTCCCTCTTGCTGCACTGCAGGTGCCCTGGGGAACCCATCTAGCTGCTTCTCATTCCCCAGCACCATTCCCCCACCTTGGCCCAGATATCACTGCTCCCACCCCACAGCGATGGGTGCGGTATATGGACTTGAATAGCAGATATTAGAAAAGTGAGCCCCCCCCCCCAGCCGAGAGTGAGCCCCACCGGTACTCCTCCCCCCCCCGCCGAGAGTGAGCCCCACCGGTACTCCCCCTCCCCACCACCACCCGCCG